GGGGGGGGGGGGGGGGGGGCTGAATCACTCAAACACAGCGAATCAGTGTGACAGCGATGAGCTGAGGGCTGCTGACCCAATTTTCCCCCCTTCTTTTCTTCTGTGCTTTGCCGAGAGCAGGACGAGGCGTAGAGTAGCGAGAAACGGCGCTTTCCATATTGAGTGATGGAACAACTTTCCACAAAATGGGCTCCTACCTGACCTGCTGTAGATTCTACAGTGAAACCATAACGAAACCTCCCCCTGAAGCACGCTCTCTAAAACGGATAAAGATGTTCTTAAAAGTTTCTCGCTTTGTTTACGAAAAGGTAGCCATTACGTCCCCGGAGCTCTAGCTGGGACAGATGTGAGATACTCAGTCGGATATAACTTTTTCCCACTGCTGAGTGGCTTTAAGCATCATAACTGCGCTTCACTTTTTCTCAACATTCATTGTCAAAAAACTAAGCCAACTGTGCAGCAAGGCACAGTCCAAAACCAGCTGAATGGTATTTACTGGGTTTGCATCGACTTGTATGCTCAACACTGCATTCGTGCAGAATGGGAACATATCCAGAACTCAAAATACCAGTAGTGATTTACAGGAAGTGAAAATACGACAAGCAGTGTCTGTCACGCAGCACCGATCAGGACGAATGAAAACAAGACGGACCAAACCGGAGCTCGCTACACCAAAAGCATCCATAAAGATGCTCCGTGTTCTGCCACCCTCAAATCACTGCACGTCTCCGAGCGCCGTCCTCTCTCCAACTACGTCTGTTTCTTGGTGTGGATTCCAGGAAGGCGATAATCTAATCATTCACAGTGAAATCTCATTTCACAATGACTTTCAAACCCCCCTGTGCACCAGCTAAATATAGGCTGGTACTCAATGTGGTCATGGATGACTCATGCCTCTTGCCAAAGCCTTGATCAGCTTGTGGCAATGCAGTAACTAGGAGCACATCAGCATGTCACACCGGGAGAATACGTTTAACTACTTAGGCAAATTAACACTGAGGGGATGAATTCAGGACAGCGCAGAAAATGTAAGCAGGACGGGTTTTTATTTTTATTTTTTACTGTGTTTCATCAGGCTGACATTTCACAACTGATGTATTTAAGGGCTGGGCAATATGATATTTGTATTGTTAGATAGTTCCAGTTTAACTTTCCATAATAACAAAGCTTGTCAGTGTCCAAACAGAAGTAATGTACTATATACATACTATATATGGGGGGAGGGTCTCACCATTCATCATGTAGTAGTCTGAAAATGTATTCTACTTATTTATTTACCAACCATGACTGGAGGCATGTAAATCTATCAAACATATCTACATATCTGAGAAACATTCAGGCTGAGGTCTGTGCTCAGAATATACAAGCACCAGCTTGCACCTACAGCAACAAAGCGGGATGCTTCCCAGTGGGCCACAGACAAGAGAGAGAGACAGCTCATCAGTCCTGCTGACTGCACCCGTGGGTAGGTTTCAAAGCATGCATTGTACTTTGACCTCAATCGAATCAGCAGTCTTTGTGACAGGCCATCATAAGTCCTAAGGCTAGGAGAGGTACTGTGAAGCATGGGGCCATTGAGGCGGTGTTCAATCAGCTGGAGACCACGGGGCTGTTTAGCACTGACCACCGCTGGAACAGCTCCCACAAAGGACGAGTGCGCAGGTTTCAGCCTCCGGAATAGTACCGCACATAGCCGTGCTGCATTTCACCAAAACAGTGACATCATATTTTATGGAAATACAGCGGAGTCAATATTCACCTCAGTGATGAGGAGTTTGATTATGGGATTAGTTAAGAAAGAGAGAAATGAATAAATGGTAGGTGTTATTGAGTGCTCTGCTTCACTCACCTCCTCTGCGGTTGTCTGATCGGCGCTGGTTTCAATCAAAGCATCAATTTAGCTCATCATCTCAAGTCGATTGCAAACCTTTGGGAGTATAAAAAGTTAATTGGCCCAGTGCTAACAGTCAGACGACAGTGAGCCAGGTTATCTAATCACTGCATCGTTGTTTGAACCCCGGAATCCTGCCCTTTTTCTTTTTTTAAGTAAAGACAAGTGTCGCCAGCTGAGCGTTTACGCCGAGCGCCGTTGCTAGCTTACGTTAGCCAGCCTTCCTAGCCTGGCGCTAGCTTTCTGTTGCTTCTCCCCGTAAAGTCTAAACAAAGCAGAGATAGAACACGCTTCTATGAAGCGACACACTCAATTACAATATCACAGCGTCTATGAACAACAACTAATATTTTCTTGCCATTTCCCATCGACGGCTGATGAACTGGACACCGTTATTTCATCCACATCACCATCCGTAGTTCACTGTACCAGCAGCAGCAGCAGCAACTCTGGGCGCATGCGCAGTCACGCGTTTCACTTCTCCTCTTTTCCTATTGAACATGATGTGACTTAGTACAGGCTGGATGCACTGCATGTGCTGCTGTTGTGTCCAAACATGCAGTCACAAACAAACACCACCTTAAACAACAACAACAACAACAACAACAACCTGTACTTGCAGCAGTAAAGGGAAAGATGAGCAGTAAGGGCAGCACAAAGTTGTGGGCAACGTTATTCATTTTTATTACTTCATAAAATATACACAAATACTGTTGTAAATAAAGTGTGTTAAAGAACTGTACAAGATATCAGTACACAATACATAAAGTGAAATCCCCATCACCTCAAACTCTTCTATACCATTCCCAACCCAACAGTTACAATACCACTGGGTCATGGTGGCCTGTACAAAGGTAATTACACACACACACGGTACACTGCTATTTACACATCCCTGCAATTGCATCAGTTGTTTTCTTTTGAATGACATCATCAAGGTTGCTGGAGGTTAAAATCCAAAGGTGACATCAAAACTATTAGCGTATAATTTTTGCAGAAGGAATATAGAAAGCCCTATGTATGATATGGACAACCTTTGAAGCCTAAGAACAGAAGAACAAAAGGGACAGACGAAACCAAGCTACTTCTAATAAGTTAGAGGAAGATGAAATTAAACAGAAACGAGAATAAAGTTATTTCAGACAAATAAAAAATAGTTTAACATAAATAGCAGAGAATGGAGATTAAAAACAATCTGCATACAAACAAGGACAAAATTAATCTTGTATTTTTAGCAGGGAGACACAGCATATCACTCTCTCACACACACTCACACACACACACACACACACAAAGTTGGATGACCCAGCTGGCAGAGTAACAGTAGCAGATCCCACAATTGAGTACTTTAAATACCTAAAATTCTGAACCCAGCCCCAGTTGATGTCATTAGTATGCATTTTTCTACTTTACACCTTAAAACAAATAACCACATTTTGGCTTTACATCAAAATAAAAAAATATTTACAGTGAAGTAAACATTAAAAAAAAAAAGAAGAAATTTCATTGGATGTCCCATCCCCCTAAGAGTCATCCCTGACAGAGCCTGCCCACTCCCCAATGACCTCCAATAACAAAAGAATAAAAAAGGTAACATTAAGAACTATCATAAAAATTGCAGCCACTATTTGTTTGCCAAAACGGGCAGCTATGGTCTCTGGTCAAATACAGTGAGAATTTCCTGAGGAGCTTTTCCCTCAAGACTTGGAGTGTGTCTTTGCAAAATCTATGGTCATTCTTCACCTTACCCACCTCACATTAAAACCAAAGAAAATACGCAAGTCAAAACAGGCAAAATAATGGGGTGGTGGAGGTTTTGGTGGCCGAGTTTTGAGGGAGAGTAAACCATCACGACATGGTTGAAGGGCTAGCGAGCACCAATTGCTACTTCACCAGAAACATTACTCTACAACAGCTAAAATGTCACTTACTTATCCTTTTCAAAAGTTACCTTTCTTTTTATCCACTACCATCTAACCTAACTCTCCCCATTTCTTCATCTTCCAGCTGTTATTCCTTCCAAAAAAAGCAAAGAAAGGAAACCCATAACAAGCTCCAATTTAAGATTTCCTCATGATGGTTGGTTGTCTTTGTGAAACTAAAAAAGCTAAATCTTTACTAAGCCAATATGAGTCATGAAGTGGACGTCTGACGAGAAACATGCGCGTGTCCCCGATACCTTTTTGTTTCTTTGATGCCAACAGTTCTTCACATTTGTCAGACAGAAGGTATTGAGGGAATGTTTTGAGGAGTGGAGCAGGTATGAGCAACCACGGAGTGAGGTCGGCCATTCATTTGCTTTTTGTATTGTGGTGGTGGTGGTCCACGGTTCGGCAAAAAGGGTTCATGAAACAGTGCATGTTGAATACTGTCATGTACTTCCCTGGATCCTTTCAAGATTTACTGTCCTTTTCCGAGGATCCATGTGTCCATTGGCAATCATCTTTTCATAAGACAAGGTAAAAATAAAAGGAAAAGAATCCGGAGCGATGGGTATACTTTGCAGCCCTGCAACGACAAATGGAGTGAAAGCCATTAGAGAGGGCGATGTATTAGCGAGTGGTGTATTTCTGCACTTAGTGTGTGAATACATTAGTACAATTAGACGTTACCTGTCAGTTCCATGTGCATGCAGAGCCAAAGAATTCTACTTCCCCATGTGCTCGAATGGCACGCTGACCTGCAAAACAAAATCAAGACTCAGAGGTGGAATTCACTGCAAATAATAATAATAATAATAATAATAATAATAATAATAGTCCCATCACTCAAGAAGATAACCAGTCTTTAACTATTAGGCTTGAAGAGCTTGCATTGTCCACTTCAACACACATGGCATTCTCATAGATGAACGTTTCCCCAGTAACGCACTGTGTGTCACATTGCTAAAGAAGCTGTGAGTGTTGTCTCACCTGTGACGTGGAAATTCTGGATTGGTCATGACGGGCTGTGAGGTCAGAGGACGATACGTTAGCAGGAGCGCCACGGTGGAGCCGCATGCTCACCTTCCTCTCCCTCTCTGCACGAGAAATTGCACGAGGCGACGTGTTCCCTGAAATGATGTGTAAAACTGAGAACCGACCACATTTGAAGCCACCTTAGCATAGCATTATTCTTCTTAAAAGACAGTTTGAGGCTAAAGCAATTCAGCAGTACGCTCACCAGACTGTTGGACCCGTGAGGCTGGGTTAGAGATGGCCTGCTCTGGCCCGTTCCTGACTCGGTTGGCAGCTCCAGGGGTGGGACCTGGGGGGAGGCCCCGCGATGCCGACCCCCTGGGGGCTCCTCCGATCCGCTCATCTCTCTCATCTCCCGCTCTCCTCTCCCCATCCTCGGCTGTCCGGCTGGCACCCTGACACATTAGAGCAGCCACATTTAGCCTTTACATACATTTGGAAGTGAGATTTCTAATGAAAAGTTGAGTTAAGCAGCTAAGCAACAAAACAACATCAACACTTCAGTTAGAAACACTTTTATGTAAACTTACAAACTTGAGCATGTTCCAATCAAAGACGTAATCATAGGAGAAACCCTGACGGTGGAAAAGATTCCTGAAGAGCTGTCGTAGGTAAGAGTAGTCCGGCTTGTCATCAAAACGGAGTGAACGACAAAAATTCAGGTACGTGGAAAACTCAGCTGTAAGAGAATAAACAGTAATGAGGAGATACTCAGAATACACACAACACTAACAGCAAGCAAAATATAAGATGACTGAATTAGTGTTAAGCTTCGACTACAGTGATTAGATAACATTTGCACTGTTAAGTGTTGTCTGCAGCTGCAGATCATTTAAGTACAGTATGTCGCTGCCAATACACACAGGCACTAAAGACACATCACTTACAAGGGTATCCTTTGCAAAGAACCTCGATGGGTGTGGACATTTTCTTCTCACTGATTCGTTCATACTTCTGTCTCTTGGTAGCGGCCTTGAGGCCCTGCCAGGGGAGGGAGCCCAGGTTGAAGTACATGAGGACATAACCCAGAGACTCAAGGTCGTCACGTCTGGACTGCTCTGTGGACAGAAAGGGTGAGAGTGCGTACAAGAGTGAAATAATGAGGATCGTCTGCTTAGTGCAACGACAGAGGGTCATTTCAAATGAAAAAACTACTGTCCTCTTCAATCACCTGTGACCAGACGCAGCTCAGGCTGTAATCAACACAAATAATAGTTGCTAATAGGCCAATAAGTCAGCTCATCCCTTAGGACAAAAGGGGCCTGTTAGCACTATTGTGTAGAATGAAATGAATTTAGGCTAAATACTACAACAGAAATATCATGTCCTCTCACTCCCACTTAAATGTTGGACTTTCTGTTCTGCATAGATAATGTATCCAACCGAAGTAAACACATTGGGGCTGCAACTGTACACTGCAATTAGATTGGGGATGTGTTTATTTAAATGGTTATATAAAATGTTCTGCAGAATGTCTTCGAGAGCATTACACTTGAATGACAACACAACAACAGGGCCGTTTTCCATTCCAGATGGCATTTCCTTTTTCTCCCCCTTATGAGCCCCCTTCCCTCACATCCTCTGTATGTTCCGACAGGGTGCGTATAAACAAAAAGACGATGCAGAGAGGAGGCACGTCCAAACTGAGATGGGATGGGGGTGACGATGAGGAACAAACAGGCTGACCAAAAGTTAAGTTTAAAAAAAATTTTTTTTCAAATGACACTGTTGACAGGGAGAATCTGGCACTTGGTACAGAACACCTGCAGGCTCGGGGTGAATGTCCTCATATGCCAGCTCTGATGAATCACATTTAACACAGTGTTTAGATGCAGCTGTCGCACAAAGGTGTGACCCTGATAGAGCAGAATTTTTATAATCCACACGACCGAGACTACCTAGCATAGGCCACCAACATTATGAACACTCTAGATAACTCAATAACAGGGAGGGAGACACTCAAGCTGGGCTCAGATTACAGGAGTTTAAATTCCTAACTGATTGTGAAACCGGGTTGCATCATGCACATAAGGAGGAAGTTCACAGATTTTCTTCTTAATTAATCTCAAACACTACAGGGTATTATTGTTATTATAATAAATACGATTATTGTGCCAGAGGAAGCAATGCACCACCTCACGTGATCTCATGGGGAAGCAGATGTAAACAAAATAGAGTGAGGTGGCGGAGCAGCTCGCTGGAGTAACAGCTGAGAAAAAACACAAGCAGAGGCCTAAAGTCTGCATGAGAAAAAGGGTTGGGACAGTTTTAATATCCGTCAACGGCAGTATGCTAGCCAACGTTAGCCTCAAGGGCTTAAAAGTTTACTTCTGAGTGGCAATACCTCTGATTTGAGTGCTGAATCTGAGGTAAGTTGGCCCAAAACTCCTGCAGCCTGAGCCCGACTCAAGGTAGTGGTAGTGGCTCCGTGTTTGTTCAACTCCCAATTTGTATTGCT